AAAAAAAAAAAAAAAGATGTAGGAATGATGGCTAACACGTTTTTAAGACATTATGTATGTATTAAGTAGGCATGCTTTTTGATGTTCCTTAAGTTTATTCTAACTTTGAAAAGTATTCATTTGATAGGTAAAGGTTTCTTCTTTCACTGTTTCCTAAGTTCAGTGGACTCTTCCACTGAAGATTTTTTTTTTTCTTCAAAAATCTGGAAAGTAGCTTGTTGAACGAACTAAATGACCTTTATAAGCTTTTGTATTTATAAAACTTTTGATTTTATATTTGGGCAGACTTCAATTTTAACCTTAATTACCTATGATCTTCTACCATGAGGAATATACTAAAAGTAATTGCCAAAATAGGGTTAATTGTAAATATAAAGGCGAATAAGGTAAGATTGTCATTTCCTTTCCCCCAGGCAGAAGGATTCCTAAAACTAGGATTAACTTTCTTTGCTCACATCTCTGGAATTCACTTCTATTTTGGCAAAGTATGGTAAAACAGGTATACACTTTTCTTTCTTCTGTGCCTATTTTTAAGTGAAAAATACTATTGTTTCTCATTCTTACTCTCATTAATTTCTTAACACATAAAAATCAAGTTTAATTTGATAGTAGTGCCTGTTAGTCATGTGAACCCTGCACAGCATATCTCTTTATACTGCTTCACACATCACTCACAGGACAAGTTCCCACAAAGACTTGTTTTGTTCTACTGTTGATCCACCCTAAAGAAACCAGTTTCCAAACTGTGCACAGCTTTGTAAATCAAGATGAACTGGTCAGAAATTGGATACAGAAACAAACAAGGAACCAAAGAATGCTTCCTAGTTAACAAGCAGAATGTGTTATATGTAATAAAATTGCAGGTAATGAAATGTTCTGTGTTCTAAGGATATTCCAATTAGGAAGTATAATATCACATTCATATTGAAGTCATAGTTCAAAGTCAATCACTTAAGGAAATATAAGTAATGCTTAGTAAGATGTTCTGGACAACAGAGTAGACAAATGATGCATGTAAACTTTGATTCTGTGTTTCTTAGCTAGCTTTGTCCATGATAACTATTAGTAAGTACAAAGGTTGAGAGGATGAAGAGTTTGGTGTGTAGGTACAGATTCCCTTCTTTCTGGCAACAGTTAGGGGCCCAGAGTAAGGAGGGAATATAGTAGCATGCGGAACTGGGACTCTCCATCTATGTCCAGAAGGAAAGAATGCACCTATACACAATTCGTAAGTAACAGAATGTATTTCTCATGACAAAGTTAAATAATATGTTCACACTTCCTGATGGTGAAGATTCCTTGAAGAAAGAGAAAAATTAAATAAAATGAAATATATTCACAGCTTAATTTATGGTTTTTCACAATATTCCTGAAATATTTTCTCGTTGAATAAATGTTTTTTCAAATATTTTATCTTCTTGTTTAGAACTTTCAAGAATATCAAGCGCTATTCAAAAATTGTTTCTTTCAGATGATCTGATCTAAACATTGTGCTTTTAACTTAATATCTAATAGCCTCCCAAAGAATCTGCATACTTGTGATGCATTTCTTTCTTCCCCTGAGAAATTTAAAAAGAAAACAAAAGCAGCAAAGAAAATTTTAAATGTCTTCTGTTCATTATTCCAACAATAGGCAAAGACCAAGCTTCCACAGCCAAAGCAAACGAGAGAATTCTCAGAGTACTCAGTGAAAATATATAGTCTGTGTCCTGAATCAAATGAGTATGTTACAAAATATAAAACTATTAGAGAAAATACATGACACATTTAAATTTTTCCTATCTTCCTTCTTTCCCAACACATTTTGAAAAGAAAATTATAATAAAAAAAATTTACCCTATAAAGCCCTTTCTCTACCACAGATATTCACATATGAATACATATTTTTTAAGTTTGAAGAAACCAAGTTAGTAGGGGGAGCTTTTCTAAAACTTTTCTAACATGAGAATTCAAAAGGATAAAATTGAAAAATGAAATGCCTTTTTGCTTCCAGCTGCTTCTCCCTGGCACCCCTTCCTCAAATTTCAGTCTCTGTTCTCTTCAACAAACTGTCAATTCAGGACAGCCCAATTTCTCAGTTTAATTCCAACTCACTGGGAGGATTTGAATTGTTGAAATGGTAGTCTTCAAATATGAGCAAGCTTTTCTTTTTTATTATTATGTTTTTTTTGAAATATAACTTACATACTATGTAATACACATATCTTAACTGTGCAGTTTGAGTTTTGACATATGTATACATCAGAATCAATGGGAAGGTTAAAAATTTTCTAGATGAGGGCTGGGCCCAGTGACTCACACCTGTAATACGCGCACTTTGTGAGGCCTAGGCGGGTGTATCATTTGAGCTCAGGAGTTCAAAACCACCCTGGGCAACATAGTGAAAGCCTGTCTCTACCAAAATACAAAAAATTAGCTGGGCATGGTGGCGCGTGCCTGTAATCCTAGCTACTCAGGAGGCTGAGGCAGGAGAATCGCTTGAGCCCTGGGAGGTGGAGGTTGCAGTGAGCCAAAATTGTGCCACTGCATTCCAGCCTGGGTGACAGAGTGAGACTGTCTCAAAAAAAAAAAAAAAAAAAGAACCATTGCCTTTGTTAAAAAAAAATAACAAATTGAGTAATACACATAAAAATACATAATATATCATAAATTGTTATGCAGATTAAGGTTCAGTTATATTTTAAAACTTAACATCTCATATATTCTTTTGTGGGATTTGCAATGCTGGCTCACACATGAAATTCTCAATTTGTCTTTCTGTTTGTTTTTAAGAAAATTAATGCAAAACTTCATGATGGAGTATGTCAGCGCTGTAAAGAAGTTCTTGAGTGGCGTGTAAAATACAGCAAATACAAACCATTAACAAAACCTAAAAAATGGTGAGTTAAGATTCTTCATTACCTTACTTCGTAGTATATGTATCATAGTTTATTGTTTCATTTCCTGCTTTTCAAAATTGTGTCCAAATGTTAAAGTAAAGACAGAAAAAATTCCATTCTGCCCTGTAGAATTTCATCTTGTGTGCAGAATCTTGGTTTGTGAAGGCAGACAGATTTAAAAAGTAAATTCATTTCCTGCCCCATTCTTTCATAAATATGCATCATTTTTATAGAACTTTTTCATGAAAGGTGGGTTAGGGCTGAGAAGAGAGTATTTGTTTTCTACAATTCTGTCTCCCACTGATAAGGTAATACTATGCACCGTAGATTATCAGTTCTTAAAACAGATCAGACCTTTAGACCTTTTAATTCAACTCATAAAGATTACAGAAATGGCTGAGGTTAAATATTTTAAGTGAATCACTAGATTGATAACTTCTAATATTATTTCTTTGGGAATAGAGGTCTAAATGAAAAGATAGTAGATTTTGTTTCTGATCCTTCCATCCCTAACTCCTTTTTTTTTTTTTTTCTTCTTTTTCTTTTTTGTGATGGAGTTTTGCTCTTGTCACCCAGGCTGGAGTGCACTGGTGTAATTTCAGCTCACTGCAACCTCTGCCTCCCGGGTTTAAGCGATTCTCCTGCCTCAGCCTCCTGAGTAGCTGGCATTACAGGCGCCCGCCATCACGCCTGGCTAATTTTTTTGTATTTTTAGTAGAGGCGGGGATTTCGCCATGTTGGCCAGGCTGGCCTCAAACTCCTGACCTCAGGTGATCTGCCTACCTAGGCCTCCCAAAGTGCTGGGATTATAGGCATGAGCCACCACGCCCAGCCTTAACTCTTGTATAATTCAGCCTTCTGTGCATCCTCTACAGCTCCCTGACATCCTTCAGGTCAGCTGTGTAAGGACAATATTGGAGAGTAATTGCTGCATGAAAGAGCAAAGTGATTATCTTAAATAAAAATTAGTATTGTTCCTTTTACATTATAAGATTTAATTTGGTAATCTGCATAGTAGCTATTTGGACAATGTTTGCTCACTGTTGCCTTATTTTTCTGACTATTCAATAGTTTCATCTTCTTTGAATGCATTCTTCCTTCCTTTATGGGAAAAAATTTTGCTTACAATTTAGAAAATCAGTCTAAATAATAGATATAATATGACCTTTGTTTATATCTACTAAAAAATTACGTCAGCCTTTTGCAAGTCTAAAACTCAAGATATAAAATAATTTGTTTATTTCAAAATATTTAAACACTGAAAGGCAAAAGTGTCAAGGAAGGATAAACTATCTTAAGCTTTTTAGATTTTTTTTCTGTGCCCCATTTTGGAGCAGTCTAGTATTTATTACAGGTATAGTTGACCCCCCTTTTATTTTATTTATTTATTTATTTATTTATTTATTTATTTATTTTGAGATATAGGGTCTCACTGTTGCCTAGGCTGGAGTGCAGTGACATAATCTTAGATCACTGCAACCTCCGCCTCCCAGGTTCAAGCAATTCTCCTACCTCAGCCTCCTGAGTAGCTGGGACTACAGGTACATGCCACCATGCCTGGCTAATTTTTGTTTTTTGGTAGAGACAAGATTTCACCGTGCTGGCCAGGCCGGTCTCGAACTCCTGACCTCAAGTGATCCACCCACCTCAGCCTCCGAAAGTGCTGGGATTACAGGCATGAGCCACCCCCCCCTTTTAAATAGTTTTACCAGCTTCTTGCTCCTTTTAGTCTTTTCTTCCTGTTCTCTACATTTCCTCCCAAAAGAAAACACTTTTAAACAAGTCTGATGAGTTTTATGCTTAGTGGCCCAAATTAGCAGTAAGAAAATTTGGCAACTATTTGCATTACCCAATTTTAGACTTCCATGAATGAATTAATTGTGTTCTCTGCTACAGTAATTAGATGTTGATTGCAAAATAAATCGTGTAGTTTTAGTTAATAGTCCTCATACAAGATTTGTAGCTTTCTGAATATTTTCAACAAGTTTTTATTCCTATAAAGGTATTTTAAGATTTCATCATCCATCTCCATTTTCTCTTTATAGTGTTGTTTCCTAAAAGAATTTGAAGTATAGGCAATAAACAACATTTATGTAGTCATAGCATTTTAATAGATTAGCGCTGTGTAACAAAGGAAATGATTTTAAAACATTCCTGCCTTATCCATCATCAGTATTTAAATCCCTTACCTTTAATATGTGCTAAATCCTATATGTTTATCTTCATTTTGAATGTGTCAGTGTGTAAAAGATCACATCAGTTATTGTAAATTTTCCAGATGCTATAGTTTGCTGGAGAACTTCTGAACTTACGTATTTTGTTTTTTTCTCATGACATTAAAACAAGATCTTGTAGAGGAGGAAAAAGGTCCTTTCCTTCTACCAGTCTAAGTTCTCACCCTTGGCTTTGTAACAAAAACCAGATTAACAAGAGAAAAATACACAGATTTATTTAATGTAAGCTTTTTGTGACACCAAAGCCTTCATAAGAAAACAAAGACCCAAAGAAAGGGTAAACCTGTGTGTTTTTATGCTAAGTTTGATGAGGAGTGGAAAATCATGGGGAAAATGTGATAGGGAACAAAAACAAAGGGGTATGAGCTAAGCGTAGTAAACTAAAAGCAGGGCTTGTTCATTCAGATTCCTCTTACTGTTCCTCCGTTTTTAGAGATAAGCATGGTCCTTTCCTCTAGGTATAGGAAGCGCACCTCTCATATTAGGGTCTTATGGCCTACTTCAGGGGTGGATCAGAGAGTCCTTCCTACATTTGCTATTTGTCACATTTCTTCAGCTCAAAATACTAAATATGCCAAGGCACCATATTTTGGGGTAGTGTGTTCTGAATCCCATCAGTCTGAACATATTACTTAGGGCGTTACTTGCCTGGACTAGAACATCATGTATTTCAGATGGTCCTGAACACATGGCACATTAGACATATTGGAAATTCGAGCTTTCAGACTCCAATCCAGGATTGAGAGTGTTATAGAAAGTAAAACTCACTTATATTCATTCACTTTACTTTCTCTGTGTATTAAGACTTGGCCAACATTGTAAGGGATTTGAATCCATTGCTGATGCTGATGGCAGCATTACTTGTCTTAAAATGTTTAATGTTGTGTTCAAGCTAATCACTTATGAATTAAATTTGTCATTTGTTAGGGTTTGTATATGAATTTTACTGGATATATCTTTTGTCTTTGGTTTTGTTTTTGTTTTTTTGAGACAGAGTCTCACTCTGTTGCCCAGGTTGGAATGCAATGGTGTGGTCTTGGCTTACTGCAGCCTCCGCCTCCTGGGTTCAAGCAATTCTCCTGCCTCAGCCTCCAGAGTAGCTGGGACTACAGGCATGCACATGCCACTGTGCCCGGCTAATTTTTGTATTTTTAGTAGAGACAGTTTCACTATGTTGGCCAGGCTGATCTCAAACTCCTGACCTCGTGATCCTCCCGCCTCAGCTTCCCAAAGTGCTGGAGTTACAGGCATGAGCCACCATGTCTGGCCTTGGATATCTCTTTTGTATAAAGATTTATTTTTCTGGCATGCTGAGTATTTCCATCAGTTAAAATGTTGAATATTGTTTCATGCGTCTGTCTGTTGCCACAAATTATGTAACTAATTGATGTAGATAAAGAAAAGTTCTGCACAACATAAAATATAGGGTATGATGGGGCTTTTTATAAGTGACATTTCTTTTAGAAGTAATAATATCCTGGCTATTGGGAAAATTAAAACTTATTCTCCCATTTGTTTATATTGTGAATCACCAAAAACCACACGTTAATTAGCAAATTTCCATTTGTTCATGGGATCCGATGCCAAAAGTTAAATCAAAGAAAAAGAGTTTGACATCTAAACTCTTCAAACTTACCTGTTTCAACCATGTGAAACAAAAATTATACTGCGTTTGTAGCTGACAGAATATTTCACGTTTCTCTTTTTCTTTTTGCGGTAAGGTGACATGCTGCAGTATTTTTATAAACATGCTCTTTATGGAATTTTCTCTCAGTTACTGAATACAATCCTGGACCATCTCCAGAGACTTTTTAGAAAAGAATAGATGTCCTAACTTAAGTTGGAAGAGAGATGAATTGAAAATTATGTATGTACTGGAGGAGGATAGGATGATGGCTATGAAAGGGGATAAAAAGCATCTCACTTATCAGCAATATATAAACAGTGTGACACTGGTACTGTCCTTTGACGTAATGAGATAAATATCTCTGACTACTCAAAGCTTTAGGTCTTTATAGAAATAAAGTGATAAGCTCCTAAAGATAAAAGCACCAAGACCAACCGCCACCCTTAATTAGAAGTCAGCACAATCTGTACCAGGATCCCCCCACCCATTTCTTAAGGCCACTACCTACTGCTCCCTGGGGGAGGGCTGCAATGTGCTGTCAACATCTCCCTTGACACAGAATGGCGTTAGTATTGTTAGACCTGAATAAGAGGATTCAGACTTTAAGATTATTCATATATGTAAGAACTAGGGTTCAGGAAAAGTCTAAATCTTTTTGTATAAAGTTTTATTTTTCAAGTGCCTTGTTTTTTACTTTTGAAAAAGAACCCCAAAATAAATGAAAACTGTTCATTACCATTCCTGGTCAATCCCAGGTCACTCATGAACACTGTAAATAATCTCGATATGGAGCTGAATTATTGGAGAAACAAGAGATCTTATAAATATAAAACAATCCTAGTCAATATTACCTATGAAAAAAATAAATGTAAAAATATATTAAATAATTTGTATACATCTTAAGGAAGGAATCTTGATATTTTTATATTTAAAAGTCATTATAGACATTTATCTATTTTTCCAGGTACTAGAAATATAAATGTTTAAAAGATTTTGTCCCTTTCCTCAAGCAGTGCAGGGCCAGATAAAATTATTTCTTTTCTTTATTCTGGGCTCAGAAGGATTATACTTCTTACCCAAGACAAAAGTAAAGCAGATGGAGGTAAGATTCAAATGCAAATTGATTGGATTCCAAAGCC